CAGAAATGTTAGCAGATAGGAATTTACCGCCAACGGTTGTTTCAGGATTGAAAGCAGTGGCTACTTTACTGAATCCTCAACCAGTTTGTTTTCTTTTCTTTTGTCGAATTTTTTGCATCAAAAATTTCATATGTGATTTCCTTGTGTGAAACTATGGTATCCGCCACTACGTGTAGTTGATTACGCTGTTAGTTCTTGGAACTTCTTGGAATTAGTACTGCGTAACGGTTGGTGTCGTCTTCTGTTTACTTGAAATCTGTTCTATTAACACAAGATCTATTGGAATAAGGCTTATTCCTAATAAAAATAAATGTCTTGTAATGTTATTAATATATTTTTGATTATTGAAGTATTCATATCGATGTTAAAATAATAATGATGACAATTTTCACTTCTGTTTTATTAGCTCTGACAAGTATGCCTGTGACTTGAAATCATTTTTACTAAAGATATTAAGCTATCCGCATATATTACAATTATTTCATGAGCTGTGATTTGAACATTTTGCTGACGGAGGTGACTGCAGGTTTTTATCGAAATAGTAACTTTTTTTTCGCAACTTCATGTATATGCGTTTGTCTATTTGTTGAAGTTCAAACCAAGCCAGTTCTATCGACAGAAATAAGATATTATTGAAGCATTGTGAGAAATTTCTAATTTATGTGAGAATATATGATGAACATCGTGAAGAGAAAATAAGGAAAGAAACTTTAGTTGAATTAAAGTTTTCAAGTCTTTATATTGGTGTCTCTGTTTCTAGTGCTGATGTTATTTAAGAGATCTATATTCTATATGTTCGGTCGACTTTATAAATTTTTTCCTATTATGTAACAAGTGATGCGGGAACATTGTAGCAGAAGAACGGCTTTATGTAAATCTCTCAACTTTCTTTCTTCTTAGTCCCTATCCTTCTTCGCAGTTTAACTATTTGATTCCCTGTCCACTGCATGCTCCCAAGTCAGAGATAAGTATTCCAGGTTCAGATGTCCCGAGTATATGGTACTCCTCCATTCCATACCATATCATACCATTTCACTTTTCCGTTTTTTATCAATTATTGCCTTTTCTTTTTTGATTATAATATTCTTTTCCAAATATCTACCTTTTTTTTCTCTTCCATCTCTCACTTGTTTACTTTATTAGCTCGCTAACTTTGACTTAGAGGAAAGTAGTTAGCGATTCCTTTCTCTTCCACCTATATTGGCCTCATGTTTATTGCTCCCTAATATTCTCGAATTCTGAAGAGGACATTTTATGGATAACCTAATTTCAGAGAAAAAGGAAAAAAAAGCAGGGTATGAGAGGGAAGAAGAATCTCTCTTAATATTATGGGAGAAGAGGAAAAGAATTATAGCGAAAGCGAGCTATACATCTATGTGTATGGTGTATGTCCTTGTCGTTTCTGCCTATATTTTATGTGAATTTTAGGATGAAGTAGCCGTTGTAGATTGGAAAAGGGGCTTTTACTCTGTCTTTAAGGATTTTTATGTATCAGAGAAGAACGAAAGCTTAAAGCGATGTTGCAGCAGCACACTTTTTTTCTTTTTTAAGCAGTAAATAAAAAGTTATCCAAACATGGTGGCTAAACGATGCTAGCAGTGAGTGGACAGACAGAATTACTGCCATATGCATTATGCACATACTTGGCCAAGATGCGGGACAGGCAGTCTAACACTGCTCATCCATCCACTCTTAAATTTGCACAATTTAGCTAAGGTGCAGATAAAGAAGCCCGTACGTATAATGTGGCCGTGTATAATGTACACCATTCTTATCCTGATTAAACAGACTAGATTTTTCCTTTTTTTTCTGAGATCTTGTGCATATATGATACCTATCTATAATATTTTGCAGAAACGAAAGGTAGGAAGGAGCTGCTGGTGAATGAGGGAAGAAGTAAGGAGGAATTTGTCCTTTACACCGTCACAAAATGCACTAACCGTGGAAAGCTAAGCCGATAATTTTGCCCTTTAGACATAAGCCATAAAGAATCTTTCGATTTGCCAAGAAAATGAAGCTAAAAGTAAAGGTGGGTCATGACGAAAGAATGGAAAAATATGTTTGGTATTGTATGCTGAAAAATGGAATATTTATATAGATCACAATGTTGCTCTTTGACTTATTTTTACAGTACAATATAATTGGCTTCAAAATCAAAATGCATAGCTGTTAGTTGTTGATGCTTATGAATAGGTCGGGAGTTAGAACTAACTGTTCTGATATGACACTGAACTAAATCAAAAAATGAAAATAAAATTCAAAATTTTATTAAATCGAATGAAGTAATTTAACTGACACAGTACAAATATGAAAATGAATGAAATTAAGAAGAATAAAATAGAAGAGTAAATTAAGATAAATATAAGAATAAATTAACTCAAATTTAAAGCCGGAATCGTAGAATCCGTAGAATCAAATATGGAATTGTATTGCTTCGGAGACAAAGTCAAATCGCCTGTAAACTGAATTAAGTAAAGAATATTTTTCGTTTTCTTTTTAGCTTCTAAAACCTAGTTGATTTATTTGAATTAATTACTGTTCCTAAAACAGTGACTGACTGAAATGGATTTTAGCGATATGATTTCATCTTTCCTTTTGTTTGTTAATTTTATCTTCAATGGGAGAAAATTTTCAAGTTTATATTCGAATTATTGCACATTTCCTCTGTGAGTGGAAGACATTCAGTGGGCTGCCATTCTAAACTTATGGAAAGAAGTGGTCATGAAAAAGAAATGTGCTTGCTCGCATCAGGTTAAAAATCTCTGATAAACTGGAAAGGGTTGATTTAATATCGAACTAGTAGTAGTTTTGGTTTGCCGGAAAAGAGAAAGTAAATTAAGCTGTTAGTTAGGAATTTAGAAGCACATAATCAAAATTTCACATAGTATTTTAAGCAGAATACGGAAAAAATTTTATATAATATAAAAAATTGGCAAGTCTAGAAATCCATTTTTGCCATCGCTCTGATATGTGATTTTTTTGAAACTACCTGGGAAGGAATTTTCATATTCTTAGTACGAATAATATTAGTTTGCTGAATTTTCCTGATTGAAAAGCAAACAATTTTTATTTTTTTAAATTTCTAATCGTAAACTATTTTTTGGACAGCTCAAATCGACAAATCTGAACTTGATCTCTTCCAAAAGCATTTCTTGAAAAGGAAAGGACATTGATAGAATTTTTTTACGCAAAGACATGGAAATAAATAAGCCTGATATAGGATCGGATCAAATTTGTAACAGTAAATACCTATAACTCCATATTTGGCATTTGTGCGGAAGCACTTTTTCGGCTTCATTAAGATGGATTTCTTCGTGAGAAGAAAATATTTTGTTTATGGATGATGATGAGATGAGGAATGAATATCCGGATTCATTTCACCAGTTGTTGTGAGTTATTTTCATTTTAGGTACTGGTGAATCAGGGAAGTCAACATTTATTAAACAGATGCGGATTATTCATGGAAATGGTTATTCCGATGAGGACAAACGTGCTCATATCCGCCTTGTGTACCAGAATATTTTCATGGCAATTCAAGCTATGATTCGTGCCATGGATACGCTCAATATTCCCTATGGCAATCAATCTTCCGATGTATTCTTTTTCTTCCTCATTTGACAATTATATGAAATAAAATTGCGAAAATTCCATGAATTTTGCATCCTTATTGCATTTTCATTGGATAAGTGACAAACGATTATTTCGGGACACTAGATAACATTTTCCCGGGTCATATATATTCGTTATATATATATATTAGAAAATAGAAAAGCATTGTATATTTCTGAAAGCTTGTTATTAATTGAAGTTTGAAGAGTGGGTGCTTTTTTAGCCATAATTCTTATAGAAGAGAATAAAAACTTCATTGCAGTTGCAAGACAAAGCGAACGTGGTACGGGCAATAGATTATGAGAATGTGACTTCATTCACAGAACCATATGTTAGTTATATAGAAGATTTATGGAGTGATTCCGGCATACAGGAATGTTATGATCGGCGAAGGGAGTATCAGTTAACCGATTCTGCTAAATAGTAAGATTTTACTTGCTTTGCATAAAACTTCACGAAAACGAACTGATCCATCATTTGATTTCAGCCTCAATATAATATAATTTTATCTGACTGATATTTTTAATTTGTTCATTATTAAGGCTTTATGATTTCTATTTAGTATTTAGGAACCGCGCAACTCGTTAATTGTCTTGTAAGTCCCATGACCCTCTTAATTTGTGATACTAGAAAACACTAAAATATCCTGGAAATTCTGTTCTCGCAATGGCTAACGTCTACGTTGAAAAGATAGTGCCGATCGTGCTACCATTCATTTTAATCTACGCTAATTAGAGTTCTGTTAACGAAATTGATTATTGACGCAAATAAATTTTATTCATTATTATTTGCTTTATTTTAAACCAAACTCAAACTTTCGTTTAGCTATCTGTCTGATCTGAGGAGACTAGCAGCATCCGATTACCTGCCAACAGAGCAGGATATTCTTCGTGTTCGTGTTCCTACTACCGGTATTATCGAGTATCCCTTTGATTTGGAACAAATAATATTCAGGTAATTTGATGTTCTTTCATTTGATCCTCATTGTTAAAGTCAAAGTTTGCTATAATTTTTGAGGCAGTAGGATTTTTAATCAGTCTATGATTTCCTTAAAACAGTTTCAGTGAAATAGTGAATAATTTGACATGATAAATTTGTGAAATAATCGAAAATCTCAGGAAAAGTCGTTTCAGAATGGTGGACGTAGGAGGTCAAAGGTCGGAACGGCGAAAATGGATACACTGTTTTGAAAATGTAACATCAATCATGTTTTTAGTAGCCCTTTCTGAATACGATCAGGTGCTTGTCGAATGTGATAATGAAGTAAGTTTTCTTAACACAATATGTAACTTATGCAATGTTCCGCTTTGGCTATACATTAACTCAAAACATCTAGGTAAAAGTCACACTTCGTATGGGACTTTCCTACAAACTGAAATCTTGTGCTTGAAAATTGTGTCAAGATTTTTTTTTCAAAATGCTTGAAAATTGAAAATTTCTTGTGTTTGAAAAATGCATTGTTTTGTTTTTATTCATGTTGCATTTTATATAAAGTAGGTGACATATATCGAATTTTAAAATGAAATGCATTTCACACACAATCTGCCGTGGACTAGACGAAACGCAGATAGGCTCCTTTAAAGATTAAGAAATTTTAAATTTTGCAGAATTTTTGAAAGCGATTTTTTTTACGCAAAAAATTGTACTAATATATGGATAAAAGAAAACTATTTTTGATTAGTTCAAGTTTTCCGCTCTTCTGTAAGCTCAATCCTGTAGACACTTATAGAGATAGACGTTTGTAATCATTTTGTGTATTATATATAATTTTTTCTATACATAACATTATTATGTGTCCTAACTATTGTGATTATAATATAGTAAAACATTTAATGGAACATTTTTGAGACTGTCAAGAAATTTGGTAAAAAAAAGCACGTTAGTGCGGAAAATTTTATTTCTTCGATGTTGTTATTGAGTTTATTTACTTCCTTATCCAATTTTTGCATTTTCATTCTCCTTAATTTTCTAAAACAAAGAAAACAAAAAAAAAACCTCAAGTAATCAAAAATTGAATGAACAATAAAACAAAATAAGCAAAGGTATTGTTTTTGATTTGTAATAATGTAATAATAATATACCTCGTCTTTCTTTCTCTTCGAATTTTGATTCACTTTCATCCAAAAGAATGAAGGCTAGAAAAAAGGAAGGAAATTTTTTAAAACTCTTTGGAAAAACTTATCAAATTTTCATTGTATTTCCAAAGAGTTTAAAATTTGGAAATATAAAAATAATAGATATACAGACATATACTGTCAGATTTTTTGAAGACGAGGAAGAATTTTTTCCTTGCATTCGTGTTCTAGAACTGTATTAATTAATAATTAAGGAAATTGGAAATGATGAAAAATATGCTGTTTTTTAAGTAGTGCTTTTTACCTTCATTATTCCCTTCACTTTCACTTTGTTAATTTTAAATTAAGAGTGGAGCTAGAATGATTAAAAGGTAATAACCTTTTAATCATTCTAGCTCCACTCTATTTTATTAAAATTTTCCAGTCTTTTTCGAGAATCAAAATCTAAATTTTTAGGAAAACTGTCCATAATTTGACCACACATAATATATTTCTTCTGATCGCGAGATTTTTGATAGAGTTAAAAAAAGAAAGATATATTTAGTGTCTATCAAATTTTTTTGAAACCATCTAATGTCGAAAGTTCCCCCTTCTGCTTGAAAATACAAGTTTATGGAAGTGTTGCGGTAAATTAACAAAAATTTGGAGAAAATTGAAAATAAATATCCAAAGAAGAGATTTGAAATGGGATTGCTCAAGTGAAAGTTATAGCCTGAATATCAAATGCCGGTATAATATAAGAGGGATTTCAGAATCGTATGGAAGAATCGAAAGCGCTGTTCCGCACGATTATCACATATCCATGGTTTACAAATTCATCGGTAATTTTATTTCTCAATAAGAGAGATCTCTTGGAAGAGAAAATACTTTATTCGCATCTCGTCGATTATTTTCCGGAATATGACGGTTTGTTGCTCTGATTGTTGGGAACTTCAGTTTATATGATTGTATAGATTGTGGTATTTCAATATTACTGCAAAGATTCATCCTTTTATATCATTAACATGGCATATGTAATCGATCATTTTAAGTTTTTTTTGGCGGTAGTATATTGTATCGTTCAGTAGTTGTTGCATCGTCTAACTATATCATAAGTACTGTCAAACACAAATTTCCTGATGAGCACGAATAATATTTGCCGTTTTCAACAACGCTTTAATTTATTTTTTAAGTCGAATATAAGTTAAGAAAATTGCATTGAAGTCAGATCTTAGTAATTATAGCATGATGTTGTTGTAGCAACAATGTTTCCTAAAGCTCAACATTTGGTAAAACAAACAAAGTAATAGTCGCATTATTGTGCACTGATTGCATTTTTTAGGCCCTTCAAGGGATCCTATCGCAGCGAGAGAATTTATTTTGAAAATGTTCGTTGATTTGAATCCGGATGCTGATAAAATCATTTATTCACATTTCACTTGTGCTACGGGTTAGCTTCTTCATTTTGAAGATCTTCTTACTAATTAGTTATGGGAAATGATCCATCAAGGGGAAACATCATTACTCTTCCGGATTTTCCAAAGCATAATTCTTCCGGACGTGTTGGATCATCGAACTTGTAATAATCCTGCTCTTGGGTGGTCAAACTATAACTATATCATATTTCAGAAAGAAAAAATAACTTTTGCATTCTCATTCTGATTGAGAGGTTTGGTTGACAGTAATAATAAAAGTTTAGTCACGTTAGTTAGGGTAGATTTACTTGAAGTTGAATCTGAATTTTAAAAATTTTTGTCTTATTTTCAGATACGGAGAATATACGCTTCGTATTCGCGGCAGTGAAGGATACAATATTACAGCACAATTTGAAAGAGTACAATTTAGTATAACCCCATAAACGATAGTTTTTATCATGATCATTATCGTTATCATTATCATCATTATCGTCATTATCTCTTTTCTTCTATAAAGTATATTTCTTAGGTACACGCGTGTAACAAATGCCTTTTCAAATATTCACTGCGATTACGTTCCAGCTTGATGTACTTGCTTCTGTTACAATTACTGCTGCTTCTACTGCAACAGCAACTACTGGTGCTACTGCAGTAATGATTGATGCTACTGTAACTGCTACTGCAGTACTGTTCCAATTACCAGTGTTCACAGCTATTGCTGTAACTACTGTTACTCAGTGTGCTGTTTTTTTGATTTGAAAAACGAAAAAAAAATGTGTGTTGGCTTGTGGTGTGATTTGTTAGATTATCTTAAATTCGCCAATGCGAAACACATAACGTAGCATGGGTCCAAGCTGTCGGACTATTTGACACAATGTGTTCAATACATTTGTCACCTTCTGCATATCTGTGATAACGGGTCATTAACGGTTCTTAACGTTCAGTAGCGTTGTCATCACGTGAAAGTATTTTAGTTTGTTCAAATGTTTGTTTCGTTCATTCCTTCGTTATTTGTTCTCCCTTCCTATATTTTGCCCTTTCCATGAGAAATTTTTTTTAGCATTCTTCTATTTTGGTAGACTTTGAATGGAAATAATATTAATTTCATTTTCTTCCAATATCTCATTTTATCTCTGTGAAAACCAATTTTTTAACTGTTTAAATTGTGGTTTATTTTTATACTGGAATTTTGAAATTTCGCAAGTGAAAAATTTTGAAGGTTCCCAACTCTTCATCCTTCTGATTTGATTCAAAGTCCGCTTTTGAGATAAGTATGGGAACAGAATGAACGAATTAATTTTCGACTTTACCGACGAAAATTATTTTTTTGTATTGTCTGGGAAAAGAATAAGTTTGAAATCATTATTTTTGGTCTACCCTTGCAAGGATTCATTTTTTTCATGTCCTGTGTTGTAATGTTTTATGGGCTTAGTTCTAGTGTGTCAGTATCCAGATATTCATCTACGGTGAAATTTCTCTATTTCTGGTTTTGAGATTTGTAAGTGTAACTTCGTCTGCAATATGCTTGGCTTTAATATGTTGGGAAATCTGTTCAGTCTTTATTTTTTTCAATAATGGTGTTTGCTTCCAGTGAAGTATATAAAGGGGTGAAAATTTAGTTTGGTAAAGTCAGAAATACAAATAATCTTTCAATAAGGAGTGGACAATCGCAAAATTGAGCATTGACTTATCAAAAAGCGATTCTTATTCGGGATTTTTGATTTTTAGTTCAATCTTTTGCATGTAATCGTCATCGCCCCGTGTCGTGATCGTCATCATCATCATCACGGTCGTACTTCTGACGAGAAAGGAAAAGCTTAATTTTGTTATGAAAAGGTTTCATAAGATACGTTTGATGGCTTTATTCTAAATTGAGAATTGAATCGATTGATTCTGATAATAATAACGATAATGATAATAATAACAATTATTAATGAACTGAATGACTGGTTGGTTGTCATTATTCCTATTATCCTGCTGCCGTTCAAGTTTTTGATTATTTGTTCCAGCTTTCTATTTTATTGTTTTCAGTTAACCAATTATCCAAATAATTGAATAATTTTATTTATGGAACATTTTGAATCTTTGAAAAAGCATTTCTTTATTTCTTTTCTTTGCTACATTTGTCCTTTTTGTCGAAAATTTTTCGAGCATTTTTTTTGAGCGTATTTTGTTTATTAGATAATTTAGTATATTACAAGCTTTCTGTCTACAATTTCTTTGATCGGAAGAAGTGTATACTTCTTGTCGGAAGCAAATTTCCCAAGTAGATGCAACGAACAATTTTCCAACAAACAATCAAACAATTTTCCTTGACATTTGTTTTTTCCAAGCAGTTTACCGTTCTTATGACATTTGTGAATTTGCTTCTTGTGGAGTCTCTAGAATCCTGCCAAAATTTTGGTTTTATTAAACGATGATGAGATGTTCGAAGTGCAGTCGTTACTCTGTGGCATAATATACTTCATGGAATTATGTCTAGAAACGGAATGTATTGAGGTCGCTAAAATATCATGAAATGTCAACCAAAATGTTATGATAGGGAGGTAACAAATTATTGCATATAAAAACCAGGAAATTTCAGGTATAAAAGTTGAAAGATTAAGCGGGTAAGGGACAGACAGGTGAAGAGAAATGAAAAAGTTTGTCAATAGAAAGAGAGAAAGCAATACTTTTGCTCACCGTTCACAATACATGTTTCAATGTTTTATTTTCTTTTATCTTTGATTTGTTCCATTATTCATTTCACTATTTTAGTGATTTGATATGTCATATTATCTGGCATTAACGTAGGCGCTATTTATTACATGGAATAACCTTTTTTTTTTCTATTTTTTTGATGTTTAGGTGCGATTGTTATAACATGCATATACATATATACTTCTTCTTCTTCGAATGATTAACATTGATTTAGGTATACTTATCATCAGACAAAACACTTCCGCTGGAGTTATCTTTCTTTTCTAAATTTCTTACAAAATTTCATTACTGCGAAAATTATTCCCTTTATCAAATGCATTAATTTGCTCCCTGTTTTTTATCCCTTTCTTATCTTGGTAGTCATTATTTTAGCTACAATTATATTTATTTGTGGTCAATAATTACAGCAGGCATATTATCAAATGATCTTTTTATAATTATTATTTGTTGTTTTTCTTTTCTTTTATCATCCCTTCATTTCTCACCACATATGCTTTATCCATTTTATTCCTTCAATCTTCGAAAATCTTCTAAACTCTAGTATCGGTGATATATTCGCTTACGTGCCATTTCATCGTTTCCTCTCTTTTTGGCCACAAATATTTTTGACCTGTAAAATAGTGTAGAACTTGCGTGAATTTTTCAGTTGCAAAATTAAACTTCAATTCTAAAGAAATTTCGAATTGTTTTTCAAAACTTTTGCACAATTATGGTTTCTTGGGGAGCCCTGCCAATTGGCACCGTATTGAGTAAATTCACTGAACTTCTTTATTCCAGTTTTTTAGCTGTTTCACCCATCAGACATTGTAACGTTATATGAGATTCTTATGAAATCCCGGTCCTTTAACCACCATATTTCTATTTATTCTATTAGTTGTGGTTGTACTTCACGGCCATTCATCATAATACGAATCCTGTTCATAATTTTTTCTCCGCATTATTAAGCTTTGTTGCCAGTTCCCCTTCTTTTACGCTGCAAATTCACAATACATGTCTGTATGCGTATTTTCTTTATCTTCCCTTTTATAGTTTTGACAAGAAAAACTCTTATCTTGATTTTATTATTATTATTATTTGATGGTATGTTTTGCATAAACGCTATGACAAAATTTAATTTCATGCAACTTGTTGGAGACAGTTATCGAAATGTGAGTTGGGTTGTACAAAAGAAATTTTTACATAGCCAAAAGGAATTTTTACCTCGTGGATAGAACTGGCTATATAAAGGTCCCTACGTAAAAAAGGTAGTAAAAGTTATGTTTTAAGATTTTGTATTCGCTGAGCCATGCTCGATAGGAGAGATCTGGAGAAAGCTGACAGATCCCACATTGCACCTTTTTTGTGCCTGATAAACCTGAAGGTAATAGAAACTTTTTTTTCCGTGCATGAGAAAAATACTTTGGAAGTTTCTCATTGCATGATCTAAAAATTATTCACAGAATAGTGGAAATTCAAGACCACTGGAATGTAAGAGATTCCAAGACACAAGGCCCATACCAAACTTCCGTTCTTTTCAAAGATGCAGCTACGACTGCTTATTAATGTATAACGATTGGCAACGCAGCAAACTAACAAAACAATACCATCTCCGTGACTTCCCATATAAATGAATGGTCTTGTTGGTGACTTTATACATTATCCTTCAACAAAATCACAACGCAGACATGAAGTATTTCAAAAGGTGATAAAGCATGTGATAGCGCTATCCAAGCGTAATCATTGCAGCAATGAACACGTAAAGCAGTCAACTTGATGATGTCATGCATGTTTATAAGAACACTGCTTACAAAAACAATTATTAATGCCGGAGTCTGATAGTGACAATTCAAATTTAACATGTTTTACATCAGTCTGAGAGACTGCGTTTGACTACATCATCAACAAAACTTTCATTCTTATAATAACGATGAACCAACAAAATAATAGTTCAATATTTTCAAAATCGTAATTTAGTGAAGAACCACCTATTCTTGCCAGTTTTATACCGTTCTTCAAATTTCGACTTCACTTCTATCCGTGCTCGCCGTTTTTTTCCAGGCTCTTTTAGAACGTCTTTGTTGACCAAATTCTTGTCTAACAACACATCGACCGAATATCTAAAAGTTAAACAACATCCCAAAAGAAACTTAAAAACTTGTCTTCGTCTTCATAAAAATTTTGGCCCGATATTACAATCAGATCAACATACCACTGACACAGCACTTCATTAGCTCAGATTTCACTCCAATTTGTCAAGCGATCAGATGACAATCATTGTGTACACGAAGTGATCTTTTTTTTTATAACTTATTAATATTAGGAAAAAACGAATACCGGTAATTGTAAATATAACGTAAGTCAAAACTAACCGAGTTGGCAGTAAGTTGGAATAGCTAGCAATACCAACGAATGGGCGTAATTTGCTTCTACTTTTGATTTTTTTCTTACCCATTCGTTTTGTTACCTGAAATTATATCTTTTTGTTTCATAAAGGAAAACCTATTATCATAAACATGCTAACGTCTTAAGTCTTGCCATACAATTCCGAAGATTCCGCTGTACATTTATTAGCTGAAAGACTTGACGAGTAGAAGGTTTAAACTTCCTATTATATAACTTTCGTTAGCTTCAAATCGTTCAGGCACAGCGATAAGAACATATAAAATGCAAAAATTCTAATTCCTCCAGTAATGACGGAGTCTGCAAGCATCAAATCAACCACTTTTTGTTAAAACTCATTTCTTATACTGGCGTTATGCGCCTTTATCGATCTAAAACTGCGAAAAAAACGAACAACATGCATCAGAGTTAAAAAGCTTTGCCCACATGGAAATTCAATGGATCTTTTCGGGCATACATTTCTCATCATTTACATGACTGTTTGTTTTATGAAGATCAATTATCAGAATTTCGTCAAGCTGACATACTTATATAATTTTAAATTACCTCGATTTTATTCACTTTAAAAATATGCCAGTTTGTAGCGAAATCTCCTTCTGATAATTTTTCTCTATTTTTTTATTAGTGATTTTTATGCAATAAGGAATCCGGATCAACAAATTCCATAAAAGGGTTAGAAAACACTGCTTGTCGTTTTGTCTTAAACACAAGAGAGATAGTTCTATCTAACATTACTATAAATTATCCCAGAATGGGAGTAACTTGGGTATGTTATAGTATTTGTAATATCGACCACGATCAGATTATTATCAAAATTTCTGCATCAAAAATAAATGCAAGAAATGCAAATTATGCAGCTTCAAGTGGTACAATCTGTATCTTTTTTCCATGCCTTTTGAAAATTATAACATAAACCAACCAATAGTGGATATTTATCAATGCCGGCAATTAACGCATGACTGTACGCACGATCAGATGATCCTTCATCATATGCTTTTACGATAATTGCTTTTCGACCAGCAAAACGTCCACCCAATACCAACACCACTTTTCCAGGTTTCATTATTTTCCCCATTATAGGAACACTTCTCCTAAAATTACTTAACCATTGAGGATAATACTATAATTTCAATAATAAAGACAACTCACGTCATTCGAATATATTTTGGTTTCCACCATGTACACATGAGCGACAAAGACAAAGAAAGCAACATGGAACCGAAAACCATCCCGGCCCCTAGCTCAAGATTTTATCACCTTTACCTAACCGACTGGTTCTGCTGTATTACAGACCATGGCATCTGATCATGCAATTCGCCCAGGATGCAAAACCGAATCCCATCTTAAGTCTGAAATAGTGGGACACCTCGCAGAAGGTAAAAATGGCCCTCAGCGTTTTCAATGCGTGTATTGTTGTCTGGAATATTATAAATAAATCGACCTTACTATAAAATAATTTTCCATTTATCCTATCAGTGAACTAGATCTTGAATTTTTCTTGAAGAGCGCGCTGATAAATCTAACCTCACGTCGCATTTGCATTAGACATATTCAACGAAGGGAAATTCACTAATATCAAGAATAGTGCTTCCCACAATTGCATTTATGTTAACGACATAAATTTTCCATAAAAACTATTCCTCTGAGACATTTATATGATTTCTTTAGTAAACAGTTTTTGGAGAAACTGGAATATCCTATAAGTTGTTGAATCCTATAAGACACAGGAATGTCCTATAAGACATAGGACCTGTTGTTGCCAATGCACTCCGGACTGAACCGCGAATTATATTCGGAAATTGCAGAATGATGCATAGTGCAGCAAAACCTTACAATATTTCTTGCTTGTTAAATACCAAATTCCAAAAATTTGTAACAGAAAGTTGAAGAGTTAATAGCACAAAAACTATTAAATTTTATTGCGCAAACAACAATAAAATTAATAAGCTTCAAAGAACACTGCTGAAGTTACAATGTTCAATTGTAGATACAATAGTGTTAGAATAATTTTGGGATTTGTGAATGACCAGAATTCTTGAATTTCTGACACGGATTTCTTTACTGACTGGAAATATTTTAGATTAATCAACAAAAATCCTCCGTAATTTCTCGTGTTTACTTTTGTTAAAATGTTTCTTCGACGATTGGGTTCCATCTCTTTGCGATGGAGTAAAGTTCGGTGTAGAACGCAAGGGACGAACATGGACCTGACTGCTCGAACAAAGAAAAAACTGTTCATCTAACAATCTGTCTGAATGCTTCATATCATGCAATAAATGACGTTTTTCAAGCTGCAACAAAGTTAAATAAAAACTATATTTAAAATGTAGTAAAAGAATTCAAAAGATGTTTACACTTATAAACTTTATGCAAAGCCGCGATAGTGTAGTAAACAGAACTTGTCTCACCTGTTGCATAATCCCATTAGTTGGCTTCGGTTTCAGTGAACTCGCTTCATCCAGTACATAAGTTAACTTATCAAATTCTTTTTGATCCACATTTGGTGGTGCAGCAATCCATTTTACTTTACCATCTACAACATTTTTCAGCACTAAACGTGCCGCCCGTGAACAATCTGGTACGCCAGATGATGACATGTAGCCTGAAATTAATGCCTCTAACATTAATGACATGCATCTGAAGTGCTAGAAATTCGAGCCACATCTATAACTACTGTCTAAAAAACACTGTCAGAAATACTTCTCAACACAGAACAAATTAATTCCTTAAAAACCGAAATTAAGTATTAAAAGATTATTATACATGAAGAACTTATGTAACTCATTTGAGAAGTCAAAAATTTCAAAAAAAGAAACAAAATTCTCCACTATGTAGCAATGTTATAGTTATAAAGTAACATATATTATTTGCAGTTGTTAACTGAGAACAGAAATAGTCTGCGCTAGGCGAAATAACTTATGATATATAATAATAATATGTGAACTTCGCAAGCATCTGGTTCCGGTAATATGAACAGCTGACTTTCTAAATTGACATGCATCAACATTGCAAGTATAGAATTTTACAGCGTATCCGAAAACTTTAGAACGCCGAAAAATCAACCTCTCATGAATGCAATTGCTGTAAGCAGATCATGCGCAGTAAGCGTTTCTTCATCATCACCACTATCAGTAATGTTCGCCAGCATCACCGAATAAATGTTTTCAAAACATTTCCGCGGGACCCGCGTTAACAGTAATTCAACTGGAGATAAGTACTCGCGCATATGGTCGATTGGAAGAATTCCATTCAGAATCATTTCACTTCGGTTTAATGCAAATGACGGCATCACAAGTCCAGGACAATCACATAAAATAAGCTAAAAACGGAGCCTGTGAGTTACTTCATTTAGAAATTTCATATATCTTGTAATGGCTTACCTAAAGAATGCTTCAAACATCACATATACAAGAAGTTCAGAAATCCTTTCATCGACAATTTTTTTTGGGTAATTTGATCCTTTCAAACTTTTAGAGAACTACTTAAAATTCTAATCTGTTTTATAAAGCTATAAATTACCTCCTCATCAACCAACAGTGTCTGCAGATGTCGCGTTTTTCCAGGTGTAGTGGATACTGCTACTTTCTTTTGATTCAGTAGCTTATTTATTGTAGAACTTTTACCAACATTTGGGTAACCAACCATTCCAACAACAAGACAGCGCCTTCCTTTATCATTTGTTCGGATACGACCTCGAGACTTGAAAAATGATATTAGTTCCTGAAAAATAGCTATTGAGGAAGAAGAGATTGAAAACAAGCACCGAATTCTATCGCGAAGCAAAAATCCTATTTCATGTCGTCTAAAAATTTCAAAACTTTAAAAAAAGAGTTCGATTCAATTAATCGACAGTCATCCTAACAAGCAGATCGATCCAAGTGTGCTAATATACAAGCGTCAGAGTTAAAAATCTTCCATTCAAATTTTGCAAGATATTCTCTGGCATAATTTTTTAATCATTCATAACACTATCACGGATCATATCAGTTTTGGATTCCAAATACTAATAAATTGATGCTTATGGTACCTTTGAAAGCATGTTATATGTATTCGCTCAACAAGTAATGGCATACAATTTCGCAGAATACATTTTGAAGGACAAATCAATCAATCAAATGCTAAATAACCAACAACTAAAATTAAAGATGCTAACCGCAGCATGACGTATAATCGGAATTTTTTCTTCTGAGATATCAATATTCTGTGACAGCTTCACTTCAAAACTCCTCCTCCGTTTGCTATTGTCATCGTCTCCATTTATACTTCTTGATGATTCTTCGGAATTCTGTTCCTCATTCTCTATTTTTTCATTTTCATTTGAACTGCTAGATGATTCTCGCCCGCACTGTTCAGTCAGCTCTTTTATTACTGTGTTACTATCATAACTAGCTTTTGGTTCCAAAGCCGACCTATAATAGATACTTTTAGGATAGCTGTCCAGAAAGATTCTAAAAAGATTTTAAATCTTTAGTTTTGATTCAAAAATTTACCGAAAAAAACAGCATAAGTTTGGACCCCAAGATTCTAAAAAGATTTTAAATTTTTAATTTTGATTCAAAAATTACCAAAAAACGGCATCTATATTATTTTCTAAGAACCATTTTTTCCACATCTCTATTTGTTTATTCGATAATAAATCAACTTTATTGATCAAGTATATACTTTGCTTCGCGACATCACACTCCTTAATATATGCCTCTAAATCCAAATTCCGGAAGAGCAACGGATTTCGAGCATCCAAAACCTAAGCAAGACAAAAATGCAGCACTATTAGTCAAGATAAAAACTACATGAAACAAAATTAAACTCAAAATCGAGAATGAATGAATAAATTTAGAATGTATTCCAAAATTTCCTTAAGATAAGCTAACCTGTACAACGATATCACTTCGTTCAACGACTCGCCAAAGTTGTCTCCACAGTTCCAGGTTTCTCTCAAATGGAGTTAACAGCACACCACAACCCTTAAAACTTGATAGTTTTGAAATATTTGAAACAAGGGTTTAAAATGAGAAATGAAACTAAAAACATGAAAAGTAGATAGAATTTACCTCTTGTAAGTCAGCAAGATTTTTACGCCATTCCAAAAAATATGTATTTTCCAATTGTGCTAAATCATTCACTGTTTCCCATGCATGTTTCGGTGGTCGACGAGGAATCCGTAATCGGTCACCGTACTTTCTATACAGTTCATCCACTGAGTAAGCGACATTTGTGGTACTTACAGCTCTCGAATTTTCCCTCAAAATTATACAAAATTGGTAAAAATCTTTTCTTCCATTATACGATGTTGATTTCAAAACTCACTTAAAGAAATGTGATCGAAACAAACTTGGCTCAGAAAAATTCACATATCTTCACATAGGAATTTTTTCTCCAAATCTGGGCAAAATTCCTAGCTTTCGTGGTGTCCATCTCTTATTATGAGCAAGGAACCAACTAAAAATCTATTATGCTTCAAACTTCACTGTTTTCAAAGAAAAAAAACTCACAAATCCAGCACACAAAATTCCCCTCGTTCGGATGTAAAATTTGTCCCAGCAAGTTCTGCCTTGGCTAGAAATTCTTCAAGACCGGTTTCATCGGTTACAGAGTCAATATTTTGTGCCGTGTTCTTTAGAAATAATCATATAAAAGAAACCAGAAAATGTGAATGAATCGATAAGGTAGTAAGACAATTTATCTAGTGGAAAGCTGCTATAAAGTAGGATAAATTACCTTCATATGAAAACATTAGAGCAAAGCAAATGATGTTACTACGTGAAATGCAGTATACAAAAGTCCGAAAGTCTATTAGCTAATTTTTATTGAAACCAATCTGTGAAGTTTTGAAAGCTATACATTTGGGAATAACAAAATACACATGAGCAAACTGATTTGTGTACCACATTTTTTTATAAGTACAAAAAAACAAAATAACCAGAGGAATGTTTGTCTCGACCTCTGTTAAGATATATAATTACGTTTGACGCCGCCTACTGCATGTTAACTAAATACTCTTACTATAAACTACTTCACTATAAACTACCCTCTTAACTTATCTTACCTAACATTACCAGCCTTTTTTCCTACTTTATTTTATGTTATTTCACGATACCGAACGACCACCCGTTGACATGTTATCTATCTAGTTCTCACCAGCTACCTTAGCTCACCTTTTTTTATGCATCTTCTACTTTAACTCCTTATGATTTCTTTTAAAATCATACACTATAAAATGGCATTTGTATAAGTTTAACCTTATTAATTTCAGCCAGATTCTCGGCACTATAGGCTTGTTGTCTTTTCCGGGATTGTTGCCGCAATTTTTCACGTTCATTTAATAAGCGATTTCCCAAAAAACGATTTAATCCCGCTGGTTTTTTGTTTTTCGGCCGACGTTTTGTCATCTTTCCTGAGAGAAAAGTAACGAACAAAAAGAGTTCAACAAGTAAATCACACGTGTAATGAATGTTGTCGTCCAGCAAGTACGTAATTGCAGTTAAATTTCTATTAAGAATTTATCTCACGACAGATATTCATATGTCAAGCTTAAACTTTCAGATTCAATTTATGTGCTAACTGTATCAAAGCATTTCGAACGGATTTAAAACAAAGGTTAGAATAGAAAATTTCCAGAAGAATATTGAAGACAAGACGAGAGATCCAGAAATTTAGCGATATTCAGAAAACCTGACCCCCACCACGTTTCCGACAATTACTTTTATTGCCAAAAGTCTTACTAACCCTCTATGAAAATTACGATCCCGACATATAATATTCATCTCCGGTTGGACGGTTTTTCTTATGAATCTTTTTTCTCTTTTTTTATCTTCGATCCTATGGATGAATAATTTATGATTGAGAAAAAGACATCACTTCGGAATTTGCGAAATTGCGTTTTCCATTCATACCGATGCTATTAATATGAAGGAAAAAGAACTGTCATCCTAAAATCCTGAAATACGTATCTTGTAGGTAATGAATTAACTTAGAGTTCATTTTGATAGGAATTAGTCAAAAATACTACAGCGGCAAGAAAAATAAGGAGAAAGACAAGAAAGATAACGGTATGATTATCGTATATTGAACAAAGAAGAAAAGTCAAAGTTTATATCAAATTTAGTTTTTAAATATTCGTTAGGTACGATTAATATCTCAAAGCGTCTCGACGTCCGTTGCAATGAAAGATCTGTAAAATCTATTTAAATATAAGTTGAATGGCAGACTTCTGATACTAAAATTTTATTTTCAGTTAAAAGTTAATTAAGATAATCATGAATGTTGAAGTCCAAGCAAGTTGATTTTTATTAAAATTAGCAGCAACAATTGAGTTGCAATGATTTTTAAATCTGAAAAAGATTGATTCAATGTAAATAATAATCTTTGTCAGAAATATTTATGCAATTCTTGAGAGAAGAAATATTTATAATTTATGATGGTTTATTTACATCATAAGGTTACTAATAAACAAAGTAGAAGAAATAAAAAGATAAAAGTAGAAAATGGTATCGCTTGAGAAGCCATATATCAGTCATTGAAGGCAGGCATTTCCTTGTTTTGATTTTGTCAACTACAATTTAGATTCTTAAATAATTTAAATCTGATCTAATAGATCTTATATCCTTATACGGTTTATATATGGTCGTTTGCTTCCGTTTGCTTTTAGTAATTTGTTGTATATTGCGTAGGAAATATTTTGCACATTTCAGCTATATTCTATATTGAGTTATTTTGCTTCTTCCGTGTTTTAATTGAAACAACAATAACTTCGAAATATTTGTGAGGTAGCAAAGTTTGAAATTAATCTTATCCTTTTGGAGAAGCTAGAGGAAAAAAGAATTAATACGATTCATGTAAATGCAACCAAACGCGTAGTTTATTTCTATTTATATCGTCAATACATGATTAGCTATATTTTGCATTATAAGATATAATTTAATCATTTAAGCATGATTTTACAAGCAAGCGTCATTTCATTTACATTCATCCATTTTGTTAATAAATGCCGAATGGAAAATTGGCAAATATCAGATAGCATATTAGATGTTGAAAGAGAAAGAGATAAAGTAAGGGAATTTATGCTCAAATTTGAAATTACCGAACGGATATAAAGTGGGTGTATTTTGAAATGAAAAGAAATTCATTTTTAATGATAATTCCACAAATAATTTTGCAAATTGTTATTTTTAGTAATTTTTCTGACATATAAAATTGCTTGAAATTTTGCAGATGAGAAGAAACGGGATGACAACGCATGTGACATTTCATATTGATGTCACATAGTATATCACATATCAATTCTTGTGTATATCACATATCAATTGTTGTTGTTAATATTAAAAAGGAAGTAGTCCACCGTACTATGCGATGTACTTTTTTGTGATACTAAACTTCACCACTTCTGATGTGAATATGCAAATTAATTTGAAGCATTCGGTTGATTTATAATTAAAAATTGTCAAGAACATTAAGAATAGAAGAAAGCATACTGTTTCTTAGACAATGATATCGATTGATACGGTGCTTGATCGACTAATTGGAATCGATTAATCGAAGTTTTGAAAAATTTTAAACTTCTGCAAGAATAAGATGGATCAATTTCGTAGTAACTAACAACATCGTAACCAGCTCTACTGAAAAGTATGTTTGAAAAGAGATGTTGTATTGAAACTTTGGAGAAATCAATGAAATAGTGATAATAGTTAAAATGACAATTTCTTTATTTCTGCAAGACTTCATGCAGTTGCAAGCTAATAATGAAAACGAGTACAGCGCAGATTTCTTTCAAATCAACAAGGAAAAAGAAAAAAGGCTGAATATATTGAATGATATGACATGGAGGAATGGAATAGCACAATAATTTTACTATTCCGGTCATATTTCAGCTATTCCCTACTCGTCATTGCTATTTCGGATTTCGGCTATATTTTCATCCTGAATTGCTTCTGGAATTGCTTCTGCTTTCATTACAGCCATCCTAATGAAGACATATAATCGGAATAAGAACAAAAACAATTGCTAAATTATCTTTTCGCTTCAGGAAATCACTGAATACCGATGAATTTGAAAATTCAAGTAATATCGATCAATTTAAACAGTCACATTGGTAGACATTAATTAGGGTCATTTTATGCGAACCCGGCTCAGTGTATACCGAAGCTAAAGCATATCTTAGTTGGTGGTTGCAGATATGTTGCGTGACGTGAAAAACAAATGCAAAGCTATGGATACTGTTCCCATTCACAGGTACATATGATTTGATTCATAGCAGAGATGGTGCGTTACGTCTGAATATCGCGCAATATAGACGCTTTATGTCTGGCTACAATCAATTTTCAATAAACGAAGTTATTTTACAGTTGTTTCTAATATCTACTGATACCTAAACACCTTTAATGTTTTTTCTCATTGAACCTCTCTAATATTTCTAACAGCAGTCAAAACCGATAGTTTCTTAATTCTGTTCCATAGAAAGCAAGTACTAATAGTGGAAATAATTTATAGCTGCAGAAGTATTAAGACGTCTTGAATTGATTACTTGATTTCGATGTTATTTATACCGGTTTGAAGTTTCAAAGTGTCTGTAACGTGTCAGAAATGGTGGAAGTATAGGGTAGTTGGGTTCTCTCTTTAGCTTACATTTTAGAATGTCAGTTCCGGCTGGCCGCGTTTTCCCATGAAAATCTCAGTAAGAGTGTATATGAACGGTGATTTTGAAAATAACACAGAGATGTATTTTCGTTCTCATTATTGTCGTTCGTTTTTTATATGTAAAATGATTATTTTCTTTGATTGCCGTAATAGAAATTATTTTTCGGATTACATCACTTGAAGTTATTTTTTCAGTTAAGATTTTTCAGAACAAAAGATGTGCTTGGATTTGTAATTCTAAATTTTAAAATAATCCATATCGAGTATTACGCATAACTTCCTGCTCTCTTCCTCCTCTACTTCCTTTCTCATTATTTCCTTTTTTTTATTATCAGATTCTAAAGGTTTAAATATTTTATGCATGAAATAGCTCATTTAAGATTGTACTTTTCCAAAATATGATTTCAATGTTTTCGAAAAAAGCAGTTTGAACAGAATCAGTCAATAGATATAGTTTGGAAATTGTCTTCTGAGATTTAGTTCGTGAAATTTATCTCATAATTGTAGCATAGAACATGAGCTTTGCTTTTACTTTATAATTACTTTTTTTTCCTGCTAAGTAGAGTGGTATTAATGAGGACGAAATCTGAGTGAGTTTCAAAATTATGCAAAAAAAGAGCTCGCGAATAAAAGAAATAGTGCGACATTTTGGAGGCACTGAAAGTTGTGACGTAGTATATTGTTAGAAGTTGAAGAAATGATCAGTCTTGTTGTGTAATGTGGTATGACAGTAATGATTGGAATTAAGAATCAAGAAGTTTGTAGTTAAGAGATTACAAAGATTGATAAATATTACGAAATACTATTTACTTACAAAATGGTAGATAAGAAAGATTAATAACCATGACGGCGGTAACTAAGATTGCTTTTTACTAGAGTCATTAAAATTGTTTGTTAGTGAATTCTCTCAGATCAAAAAATCAGTATTTCACTTACTGATTTCTCGATCTGAGAGAATTCGCTCATACGTATTGTAATCGTTTTATTAAAAGCGCCACAGATCAACATATTGTATAATTGCTGTTTTGGATGAGTGAATTGTTATTGTTGGATCTTGTTGGATTTTGTAAGAAAATTTCAATTCAGACCAAAAAATGACCAAATTTTCTCTGGGGAAAGTTGAGAATTTACTCTTTCCATGGTACTGAACTGATAGACTGATATCAACGAAGGAATTGCTGAGCGGTTTTAAAATTTCGGAGGAGTCATCTTTGATAAGGAAAAAATGAATATGTAGAGATCAGTCTGTTTTCAATCTAAATAGCATTCACTTTTTAGTGAACAGTGAGGTCAGTCTACTCATTAGTTATAAGTTATAATTAAGTGGAGCAGTTAATACAATTTGTCAGCAACTAGTGCATGAAATGAAATGCTGTTAAGATCTCAGTACTAGGTATAGTGAGCGTATTTACCGTTTTCCATAGCAGTAGCCGTAAGGTTTTACATAAATACCTAATGATAACAGTATACTTGATTGAGGGCTCTTCAGAAGCTTTCTCATCTGATCATTATTACTCTCGAAATTTGTGGTTGAATTTTTTTAACTGGAAAAAGAAAGACTGCAAAGCATCAGATGACAAGAGTTATGCGAACAAATCCGTCGAACTGTTCCACGTTTATAATTCATTCGACAGAGGTGTTTGTTACATTTCTTGTCATTCATTTTGATGCTTTCTGGATCGTCAAATCTGAAAAGGAAGTTCTTCAGTTTTATTTTAGGTTAATTTTATCTTAGGTTAATTTTTAGATTTGAATAAAATTTTAGCTGCAGTTTCAGGTGTGATGCGTCATTGCTAATGGCGGATATCCCAGAAGATGTAAAACTTGAACAACTATTAGAGTTACGGGAGCAACTACGAGAGCAAATCGATCAACTTGATGCGAATAATCCGCCGGAACCATCTGGTAGTATGCGAAAAATATCGAAATATCCTGACAGATGCCAAGCAAGAGTTAGCAAAAAGGCCGAAAAGCGCCCCAATTCCTGCACAGTAAATGGTTGCTCTAACGATAAGGTTGCAAAGGTCTCACTTCCAGAGGGTACAGAAAATGAAAAAAATGAACAGCCCAGTTGCAGTGGTGTAATAAAACCAGATGAGAAGGTTCATGGTACTTGGATTTTGGATATTCCAGCAGCATATCGCCAGAATTTGCACCAGTATCCCTCTCGACATATATTAGAATTATCATCGGATATAACTGGTACAGAAAATGGGTCAAAGAAATTGAGCTTACATTCAAAAATTGATGAAATAACACCAAAAGAAGTACCGAAAGCTGAAACTATCTGTACTAGAAAGATTGAGGACATACCGGTATCATTTATTCCCTCAATTCAATTCATTTTTCCTTCTTTGCTTTCTGATAACTTATTAGTCCCCTTTCCATGATATGTTGTGTAATTTGGTGAGGAGGCTCATGAAATAGGACTTGAAAATGAGTCTCAATGATATAGGATGTTATGAGTAACATTCAGAAAAAATGTTTATATTATGATTTGAAGTCATTTAAAAGCTTTCTTTTCTTTATAATACTTTTCTTGTTTTTCCATTTTCTCCAGCATTTCTAATAACAGAAGTAGTCCCATTCTGCGTCAGTTTTAGGATTTTCCAATTATGTCATGATATTTACTGTTTTAGATGGAGGAGAGAATGGAAGAAATCTCATTGAGTACTTTAATAAGTTCAATGGGAGATGAAACTGCAAAGGTTTGTTTGTTCTTTATAATTATTTCATTAGAAATTATCAGCGTGATGTCGATTACTTCCTGTTTGACAGTAGCTTCAGTGTTTTGCTGCACTATGTTCATTTTTTTGGCGGTAGAAATTTTGTCGTGTATTCTCAACAAAAAACGAAATATTTTACAAAAGATACGCTTAGCCATGAAGTCATCACTGAAGAAGTAGTTCATCCATGTAAATTATTGGTTGAAATGTGAACCAAAATTAAACTTTCGTTTTTCTAAAGTTGTCGAGGCAGTTGTAAAGACAGTCGTTTCACTGTTTGGAACAGTTTATATGGATCAAAAGAAGACACAGATAAAAACAAATGAGGAATCTCAAACAGACCAGAAGGCTTTCATCAATCATTTGTTTTTGTAATTTTGGATCTAGGAAATACATTGCTTTAATCTTAAAATTTGGGTTAAATCTTTTGTTCTTGATCACATTTACTTACTAATTCAGTTTATTTTAGTTTTAATATTTGTTAATTTCATTCTGTTTTTATCGTTAAGTACAAATTTCAGGATGACATAAACAATACTGCTAGTGTCCAGATAGGAAATATTGTCTCATCCAAGAACATCGAAAGCAGTTTTTCCATTGATGCTGAAAAATTAGTACCACTACCGCCTCCGCCATCTCCACCTCCGTCCACACCATCATTACCATTGCCACCACCGCAGCATCAATTTTTATCGTCAAATGAAGTGAACTCCATAGGTGATGAGAACACATTATTGGATGAGCAGCAATCAGAAGGAGCTGGAGAACGCAGTAAAAGCTTATCACGACCAGGTAAATATTTTAATCTGAGTAGTCTTATAAATTATAATTTATCACAAGGAGGTAAAAATTCCGATTATCTGGGTAATCTTATAAATTATAACTGTTAAATAGATGTTTTACTCACCAAAAGCTATCGGCTGCTTGGTTATTTTTCCAACTTGCTGGAATTAGTTATTTTATGCAACTTATACCTTTCTTGTAATTGCGCTAGTTTATTTAGCTTATGATTCGAGTGCTAAAATAATCTCTTTAATCTCTTGCTAGTTAAAATATCGACGATTTGGGCATGTTAATTTTGTTAGCCAAGAGGTACTATTTTTTTTCCGATGAAAAGATTATATAATATTATTCCCTCGTATTTCCGCACTACCTATTCATTACGGCCTTCTTACCATATACATCAGAATCTTCAATGTATGCTGTGGAAATAATTATAATAAAGTAATTAATAATAAGATTAATTTTTTCTTGAACTACTGGGATATCTTCCAGCTGAAGACAGTGGCAGTGAATTGAATGGAATAGATGGAAGAAATAATAAAGATGACAAAGATGCATTCTTATCGTAAGTTATTTCTTCATTGTTTGAGATATATCATTTTGCAATTCAATTACTAGAATCCATTATTGCAATTTTCGTATTTTAGTTGGAATAAATCCTTATTGTTTATTTCAAACATCGTATCTTCAAATTACTTCTTATTGAAAATGTTTACAGTGATGAAGATGATGGTGAAGATATCGACCTATTGTTAGAGAAACCAGTAGAAGATGCTCAAACGGGTAAAGTGATTATGCCAGAAGATGGTGAAGTACGAGAGAAAATAGTATTAGCATATCGTGGAACAGATTATTTTGACGTATTACCGGAAGGATGGGTGGAAGTAACTCACAGTAGTGGCCTGCCCATTTATCTGGTTAGTTTATGTGTTCGGTCTGTAGCCAAATATTTTTCTTTAATAACAAATGTGTCGATTAATTTTCAAATGTATCATAATTTCTCTTAATTGTATTTTCTTTCTAAAGCAAAATCTCAGCATACCTCGTCTGATAACCCAGAGTTTTGTTCTTCTGCGTTCCAATAAATAATTTAATACCGAACGTAGGGAGCATCCTATTGTTGTTTTGCTTAATGAATAAGTTGTTTGCTTTTGTCCAACCATAAATTACATTGTTCAAACTTTTTGTTAAGAGGAAAAGAGATTCCTCTTTTCTAATGTTATTTTATTTTTAGCATAAATCTACACGGGTTTGTACGTTCTCACGGCCGTACTTTATTGGTCCAGGTAGCGTTCGACATCATAATGTGCCAATTTCCGCTATACCGTGCTTGCATCAGCGACGGGTGCTTAAAGAAATGGAAGAGGGTGCTGCAGCAAGTGCAGCTGCATTGCAAAATGCACTTTCCGAATCGGTCGGTGTGCAAAGTGGTGATGTTGCATTTGAAGATTCTGCATTAGTAATGGCGCGACTACAAGCGCCAGGTACGAAAGTTCAGGTAAGCATATCAAATTTCGAAACTTAAAATTATATTTTTCTAGGCTTCCATCAGTTTTTTGATAGGCCGATCTATCAGTTATCGTTTTGATAAATTATGAGTCGACTTTAAATACCGGCCTTATTTGCTGTTATGTTATAAAGTATTAAGGAACTTTTTTTATCCTATTGGCAAGAACTTTTCTTAGTTTCTAGAATTTTTTTCTCAATCTCAAGTTCGGTTAAGGTATTAAATAAGAAAGCTTTTGCTTGAAAAGACGAAATGCACGAATCAAATTTAATAAAAGTATGGTAGAAGTGTGGGAAAAGCTATGAAAGTTTTCCTTTCTGTTTAAATACGAAAATTTTCCAAAATTTTAGACTGCTGAAGACTTCAAGGAGCGTCAGCTTGATACAGAAGCATTACACGAATATGCGAAAGCTGTATTTAAATTTAAAAAAATTCAGGTAGTTTTTAATTCAGTCGCATGTTATCAATACGTCTCACAATCCGCTTTTAAAAGATGATTTTTTTAAGACATATCGGTTCAACAAATGGGCTGCGACGCGTAATTTTCATCGCCAACGGAAACTTGCCGAAGCTGGAAGACTTGGGAAAAATGCATCCTCTATTGAGCTTTCAGTTGGTCGTCCCGGTGAGAATTTGTCTCTTTTCAAATTTGATTTGGTAAGAGTTGGAGAAATGCATGCATCAACCGCAAGTGAAATGAGCGAAATCTTTCTGAAAATTAACTGCAATCATTTGCCGATCTGGCATGATCTACTACCCATTATTATATAAAATCCTTATTGCCACTGTACTGACTCTGTTTGTTTACATAGCATTCTAAATGTGCTTAGTTTTCATTGATTGTTGCAAGCCACTTAACAGCACGTTCTGTTAAAATTACTTGTGCAATATTTTTTTCAATGACCAAAAAGTGGATTTATCTATCATTCCTTAATTTACTGTTCAAAGTTCATGTTTCCACTCCGGTCTGTTGTAGTTTACTGTTATGAAAGAATTACTTACTTTTTAATATCTGCAGCACTGCCTTCAAATGTGAAATTGATTACTGTGCCTGCATTGGAAACAAATTTAAAACCACAGCATCGTGGATTTTTTCTTAATCCACAAGGAAAAACATCGGTCAGTGTGCTGCACGAGTATGTACAGAAAGTTTTGAAAAGTACCATCAATTATCATTTCTCAGAGACAAGGTATGTATGATTTAATGAAATGATTAATCGATGAAGTGTGATAAACATTTAAACACTATCAGTTAGTAGACTCCTAGAAGTTTCAATAGGTATCAATTGGTTGTTTTAACTGCTCGGTTTTTTATTTGTTTGATAATATACATTTCATTTTTAGACTCAATAAAGAATGATTTGTATTCTTTTCAGGAATTCATCAATGCCATACGGATGCACAGCACGTCTGAAAATGAATTTAAATAATCGAGTACTTTGTGCAACAAGTGTCAAGGAAAAATTAATGCTTTTGCAAGAAAAGCAAAGACGAGAACAACGTCTACAAGAACATGGCGAACAACCAGGTTAGCTTACGGTAAAAATGGATGAAACAGACGAGCATTGTTTTTATAACCGGAGGATGGATGAAATTTTTGAAATTTGGTTATATTATGTGTGCTTGCACTTTTTTAACCTAACAAAGATCCCTAGAATGTGTCAAGTCATAATATAATAAGTGTCAAAAGGCTGTTGACTGGGACGTCTAAATCTTTAGAGTTACTTATTGAGCATCGTATCATTTTAATGGATATTATTTGAGGCCATGTGTCATTTTAGCTTGTATTCCTTGTTTTTTATTGTAAATGGTTATTAATTACATAAGTTTTTTATTCGGCAACATCTACAGATAAAAAGATGGAAATTTTTTGTTTACATATTTAGATGCTGACTTTGTGATTCTTGGAACGGGTTGCGGTAATAGCAAAAAAACTGCTAAGCTGGATGCTGCACGAAATGCCTTAAAAGTTTTAATACCGGATGTAGAGTTTGATCCGGAAGGTATTGCTAGAAGCGATAAGAAAGTGTAAGTCACTTCGTTAGTAAGGAAGATATATAAAGGATTTCAAAATTCAGTTTGATTTTGATCATATTAAAGTCGAGGACTTAGTCCTGTGCTCTGTTCATCCTTACACATCCTTACACAGATAAAATCATACAATTGGACAATTTATAGCATCTATATTTCTTTATTAAAATTCTATCCCGTAATGATTCAAAATGTAAAAAATTTTGCATAAATTAGCTAGTTGGCAGTTTTCTAATATTTTACTTTTTTTATCCTTTGCTCTATAAAAAAATAACGAATAAATTGACATATTCCATGCGTCTATGAATATATATTGTCATTTGCGCTGTTATCATTGTTGCTGATCAACACTACACTATAAACTGTCATCCAAAATGGTTTGTTTGGTTTAGACTCTGAAAGCTGATGCACATATTTATTATTTCATGCTGTTGTTTAAACTGAAGTTCCAATTCTTCAGGAAAGATGATGCAGAAAGCGACAAAGAAGATGCAGTAGCACTATTTGATATGTTGCCAATAGAGGATTCGAGAATATTTGATTTATCTGCTAGAGCTGGTCAACCATCACCATATTTACTACTTCAGGTTAAATTGGATTTTGACTTTCAGGAATTACTCAAGTTGGTGATCAATGTTTTGCATATATGTTTGCGAATTCTAATGCTGCAAAGAATTTATTTGCATCGTAAAAGATTTTTTGGCATTTTTAAACTTTTTGAAGTTGGAGTAATGATGTTTTCTGCTTTTCATGAATATTTAAATGAGATTTTTAGATTCCAAATGTTTTTCGTTTCTTCAAATGAAAACTTAGTTGACATTCAATCTTTAAATTTTGGGTGCTTCCCAAATTTTGAAGTGCATTTTTTTGTATGCCGCACACTTAATGAGGTTTAAATTCAACTATTGTTTGGGGATATTTTCTAAATTTTTAGATTTACTGCCTAAAATTTACGATGTGATAAATCTATATAAATCTTTAAGCGTGATGCTCTTATGAATCTTCGGATTGAGTTCCGTAGTTTCTGTGTTTTCTGAAATTTCCACAACTTATTTTCCAAATTTCTTATATGCTATGAAATTTTGAGGCCAATCTCTGAGATTTTTCATAATTGTAAATTTAGTGATATCAGTTCTATCATTACCATTACATTTATATAAAAGTAACGTTATTAATGTATTTTAGAATTTCTCATTTTTCATCATCAGTTTTCTTCTCCTGATATTTCTTTTTTCCTCACGTTATAGCTAACATTAAAAAATTCTAGGAGTGCTTGAAACGAAATGCAGCATATGGCGACACGGAGATAAAAGTTCACTCGGTGCGAGTCAAACATCAACGCCATCAGTTCGATATGGACGTCGGCAAACATCGTGTTTCTGTTATATGTGCAAATAAACGTGAAGGCAAACAGAAAGCGTCCCAAGCAATGCTCAAAAAATTGCATCCTAATGTTAATGATGTTTATGAAAATTGAGATTTCTTTTTGTGAGATTTGGAGAAATTCAAATCTTTGTTAGAAACGGTTTATTTGCTTTGTTTACAAAAAAATGAGAAAATATAGCAAGACTCTCTTTATTTGCATAGAAATTATTGATTGACTTCTTTGTTTTCATAGTCATAATTTGTTTAGCATTTTACTCGCATTTTGCAAAAATTACCACCTGATGCAACAATAGTTTCGATGCAAGTAAGAGCAATTTGATAGGGAAAGTCGTAAAAAAATTCTTATTTATCAACAAAGAAATTTTCATTACATGAGTCAAAATATGATTATAAATTAAAAGAATCACTCATTAAATGGCAAGAGCATCTTTTAATTCTCATTCTGGAAGAAAGGGGTAAATTACAGAAGGAATTTTTTTCGACTTTACATAATGTAGGGTTTGAACTCCAGTTATATGTAATATTGAACGAAAAAAATCAGGAGGAAGGACTATTTTTATCGTATCAGTTTGTTCCAAATATCAAATCTTTATAAAATCTGAGTATTTTGATTTTTAGCTCGACACATGGGGTTCTCTCATACGCCTTTACGGGCATGGAACACAACAAAAACAACAAGAAGCACGAAAAAGTCGACAAAGTATCATCAAATTACAAGGTCTGTACATTTTATTTTGTTGAGTTTTAAAATGTGCTAACAGTGGGTCAATCATATGAAAATTTTTCATTTGTGATTCTTGGTATTGGGAATTCAAGATTTGAAAATTCTCAAACTTTGTTAGCACTCTTTTACGTATTAATTTTTGTAGGAAATCGTACTAGGGAAAGCTCAGCATTAGAACCAAATAATGCAATATTGGAGAAATTACGGATGGAAATGTTGAAATTATCGAAATCCAAGCAATCGATCGAAACTTGTAATGTACCAAAACGGCCAAAACTATCCGCAACCAGCGAACCGGTAGATGCGATACAGTCAGCCCAGACTTCAGCCAATTACGCAGCAACGCATCCGGATGCTTTATCGGCTTTAAGAATTGATCTTTAATTAAAAGCACAAAACGTGCAGTTTAGTCTACAAATTTCCTATGCACATGTTATTTATTGAGCAGTTAGTTCCGCATTTTCCTTAAAATTTAAAAAATTTCAAGAGTTTTCTTATGATTTATTTTCGAATTCTTTATTAGGTATGCAAAATTTTGTTCCTTATTATTGCTTGTCCAGTTGTCATATTTTGACGTTACGTACGCTTTTCTTTTAATGTCTTTTCTGACATTCCGTGATTTTTTCTAGTCTTTTGACAAGTTATTTTTATTCTTAGTTTCCAAGTTTTACTTTTATTTTTATCATCACTTCTTTCCTTCCCTATTTTGTTTTAAATAAATGATGTTTTGATATTTTCAAAATTATCATTTGCGTTTTTGAAATTCAAGAATTGAGCAATTTTCGAAAAAATAAATTTTGGTATAATTTCTGCATGTATATGATATCGAATTCGTCTGAGGTAGGGGAACATTTGTTCGTAGGGTATACTTATTCAAAGAAAATAAGTGAAGAAACTTACCGTGCTCTGCTGCTGTGTCCCTTTTTCGAATTTTGGAGTCGAAAACTGAAGTATATAACATCGATTATTTTGATAATCTCTGGTAAACACAATGAATGAAAGTCCAAATTTTAATTTTTTATTGCTTATTTATGGTTTCACTGATTCTTTTCCTCTTTGTTTAATAGAAATTTTATCTAACTTTGGAATGTTAGAAGAGATCCGAATGATGTCAAGTTATTAATATTATTAGACATTAATATTTTGCTTTAATGCTATTAAAATTAGGCATTTCAAGTTATACTCTAATTTAGTAAATTGGTTCAGCAAGTGTATCATTCGATGAGATTAGTAAAGAAATATGCATAATTAGCAGTCGCTAATTGCGTAGTGGTGTTAGAGTATTCCAAAAAAGAGGAGTTTCAGTGTTTTCTTTCTGCTTAGAATGTTTGATTTCGTGTTGCAAAAATCCAACTTTTATTGTATGGATCTTATTATTTAATATATGCAAAAGTTTTATAGTGATTTTGTTTCTTTTTTTGCTCACATGAAATAAATTTAACTGTTTGAATACTTATGTTTATCTTTGAATTAGTGCTGCGTTGAGTTGTTATCCAATCATAGTGGTATGGGATTTTATTATTCTTTTGAAAATTCGAGATGTTTCCCAATATCTTAGACTATTAGGAAGAAAATCGAACTTGAACTTTTTCCTTTTTTGATGCAAGAGATTCGTGGAAGAGATAGAGTTTTATTTTGGCTAATGTAAAGTTAATTATTAGAAATTGAGAAGATTAGTGGCAAAATTTATTTGTTGAAGTATTAAACATTTAGAGATATGAGGAATTTCGGATTACACCGTATCATTAAATGAGAAATTTCTAGTGGTTTCATAGAATTACTTCTAGATATTGAATTAGTGTACTGTAGGTATTTACTGAAAAGATTATGGTAGATAGTTAACAAAGAAAAAACTTGTCGGTTTAGGATTTTCGTATTTTCTAAAATAGTGGGAAAATTGGAATCAAATTAGTCCTATTCTTTCCTTACCAAAAAAATGAGGAACAAAAGAAAAATCAACTTAATATCTTTTATTGTTGACAGTTGTTTTTCCAAAAAAAGAAGAGTAAAGGAATGCAAATTTTCCGTCAACCGTTTTAAAATTGAGCTTATCTAATCACTGAAAATGGATTGTATGTGCGTGTACTCAAACAAATGACACACACACACACACACACACACACACACATACATACATACATACACATACACATACATACAGAGATACACACATTCATCACAATATCAGGGTAATAAAAGAAAGAGTGGGATGTTATCGTCGTACTCTGTTCATTGTTATCATACTTTTGGTACTTTATTCTTTCATTAATCCACCTGTAAATATTGTAAAAAGCGCCGCTATTTGTTTACCTTACCAATAAGAAAATTATTGACTGATAAGTTTGTCGAATTTTTTACTTTATATTATCGACCAATTTGCTTCATTCTTTACAATATGTTTATTGCATTTTATGAGTTAATAATTACAACGATTACGTAAAATAATTATCAATCATTAATTGATTATCAGTATCATATACTCTGAAAATATTTTGTATTACTATTTACTACGAAATATTAAGCGTATTTTCTCTGATTCAAGCATTAGTCATTTACTGCCTCTCATCTTATTGATAAGAAAAATGTATGGGAATGAGAAAACATTCCTGATAATGATTTTAGATTTATAACGGATCATCATCTGGTTAACTATCTGGTCATCGGATTAATGGGAATGATAACCACATCAGTAATCAGATTTCTTATTATATCACACGACTTGATCATTATCTGTTAACATACCTGTAATTTCTTCATTTTCTTTTCTCAAGCTTTCCCTTACTTTTTTATTCGAGATATTTATCTCTTCAGACTTTTTTCAGAGTTTTGCCTTTTTACGCTTCGAAGAATATATTCAAGATGGAAAGGATATTTAGCTCATTCGTTGTTTCAAGTCCTCTTTTAGGCTTCAGCTTTTGCAGCATAGTTAAGGTATCAATCATCGGATAGAGGCGTTCGAGCTTATTTATTACCAAATTATAAATCGTGAAAGTGCAATTAGCACTACGTATGGTTGTTGTGAAGTGAATTTTGTTTACTGTGTGATCTTAAAAATTATTTTTTTTGCTCGTAACTTATTGACATTTTATCGATAATTTTGTTAGTATTTTTGGTTAAAGAGAAAATGAAACATGTGGCAATGTAATTCTTGTTCAGGTGGCTAATATTTAGCCAGGGCCAATACCACAATTGGTCCATGGAATAGTATGTATGATGCTGACGTACCAATCCGGGATAGGACGGGGTGCTTTTGACACACAACATTTTATTTCCTAAATCGTTCTTTTAAAATTTGAGCCTTATCACATTGAGTATTCTTCAAGAATAAAATATCTTCAATTTCTTTGTTTTTTCTGTATAGAAGTGGCGGGAGGGGGTGGACGTGGGATGGAATAGGTGGACGTGGGATGGAATGGGTGGACGTGGGATGGAACAGGTGGACGTGGGATGGAATAGGTGGACGTGGGATGGAATGGGTGGACGTGGGATGGAATGGGTGGCTGAATATGGGAGATGATAAGATGAAATGAGGGGGAGAGAGAAGATAAAAGTGGGCGAGAAAGGCATAAAGAAGATTGATAATAAATTTACACAAAGAAATTATTGTTGAAAAAATGGAAATTCGATTTTGTGAAATAAATGCAAAAGCATTGTTTTGTGTATGCCAATCGACAGGTGGCTTTTTTTCTCATTTCTTTCTTTCTTTCTTTTTTCTTAAGCTTAATGCTTTGTTGGGAATATTTTGAAGGTTAAAAGAATAGTGTTAAGGGAGTAATTAACTATCTATCAATGATCCATCTATTGTTCTTACCTGTCTATCTATTAATGTGAATTGATATTGCCTTTTGATAATGTTTAAGTATCCTTCTATGATACTAATGGCTTATTAAAATAATTTACCGCCATCTTTTTCCAATAAGATTAATATCATTGTGCATGTTTGTTTATCATAATGAGATCAGATTTGGCATAATGCGGAAAACTGTAAACGAAAATACGGAAGCTTTTACCTTTTTGTGTTTTCTTTCGTTAGTGGTTGTTGAATTTACGATTTGCACTTCTTTTATTGAAATATATATGTGGGAGAGCAGTTGTGTGAGAGCAATACGAAGTAAAAAAGTAAAAAGTTTACAATTTTCAAAAAAAAAGAGATAGTGAAGAAAAAAGCGATCGATCTATAAAGTATATTGAAGAGAATAATTGACGTTTGAATGAATGATGATTGGTTCAAATTACAGTTGTCACTATATTCTTTCTTTCACACTTGTTAAAAATCATTAATTAATTGCACCAATTAATTTAATCGATCACTGATATGTCTCTTTTTTTTTTCAGATATTTTCAATCAATATCTCATTTTAAATCAATATTGGATAGAAAAAAAAAACACAACCAAATTTTACAACATTAATTGTTATTTGGGTGATAATATCCTTTGAATTAAATTCAAAAGTAAATGATAAGTTAGTCGAAGTAGCACACTAACTTATTTGATTTAACATGAAAACTTATGGTTCTAGCAATTTACTGAAATTAGATGATTTATTAAAACAACCTAATCAATGCAAAATTCGGAAATTTCTTTACAAGTATTATAAATTGAAATCTTAATGAATTAAAATTCAAATGAATCATTTCATTTCATTTTTTTCAATTCTGACCATTTTATTGATTTCGTCATGTCTATTCTATTTGTCATTTCATTACTACCATTTTCTACTTTATTCTATCTCTAGCGATATACACCGCTTTTGTTTTGTTCTCTCTTTTTGCAGTAATTTTAAGATAAGTATACTTATCATTTTAAAAAGTTCAGACTGTCATCAAAACTTCATGAAATAAAAAGCTATATGAAACATTTGTTGCTAAATTTCAAGAATTAGTGCCTACATTTGATCAATAATTAAACAATAATTAGTAAACATTGGAACAACTGATTATCTGTATGGGAAGTTTGATAACCATCTGTTGAGGAATACTTATACGGTAACTCCATTCATTTATCACAGTCCTTTTCCTAATTACTTAATATTATGATGATGGATAATGATGGTGAGGTGATTATAGTGATTGTAATGATAATGATAATGATAATGATGATTATGATTATGATTGGATTTGTAGCAGAGTTCATTCTTTCTATGTCTCGAATAATTCATATCCTTATGTTTTGAAAAAAGATTTTTTTTTTCTAAAAAATTTCATCAATTATATATTATTGGAAAGAAATTGAAAAATTAAAATTCTTCGATAACTCAAAAAATTTTCGTCTTTCTTTAGCCATAACAACTAAGTACCATTGGAATGTCTCTTCCTTTAATTAAACGAATAGAGACTGATTTCGATTATCTTAATTAATTGCCAACCTTATTTCTTTCTGGCAATAACAGATTAAAATTTTTTCTTAAAAATTCAGAAATATGACATTAGAAATTATTGTTTTCATTTGACGAACATAAATAAGATTTAGCATGCAAAATAAAATTTGGTTCGTCGAAAATTTTACATATTTCACTTTAATTAATTTTTCATTTTAATTTTTTGTTTCAAAATTCGCTGCATATATTATTGATTTAAAGAAACTTAATTGCATATTAAAAATTTAAAGGAATTACTTTTTCTCTTTTTCCTTTTTCATCGACCTTAATTGGAATGGATTGTTGACAATTTAAAAAAAGAAGGATAAAATACTTTCAGTTTTCAGAATGGAATGATTGGTTCAAATATTTATTTTATTCTATTTTATATATGCTTTGAAGAATGAATTCTAAAAATGAGAACTTTTCGTCGCTTCTGAAATAGAAAACAAAGCATCAATTCCTTTTTTAATTCTTAATTTTTCCGAATCAAATTGAAATTTACTTAACAAATATATCATTCCATTTTCTACCCATTTTTTTCGTCATATTCTTAATATTTTTCAGTTTTTTTTTCAACAGCTTTAAATAAATATATCACTTTGACTAACCAAAAAGTAGATACTAATCGTCGAAATTTGGGTTCAATGTTGCCAACTCTCGTCGAATAATATGTTATGAAATAAAAATATCGTCTATTCATAAATGAATGATGATCCCTTTATCTTATCAAATCAAATTAAATATTATGTAAATTTCGCTTCATGCAAGTTAACATTCCAGTGGAGAAAAAATATATGATCGTTAAGTTTCTTCAATTTTGAAAACTTTCCTCTTTTGTAGAAAAAACAGAAAGAAATTGTTATTTTAAGTTGGATTCTAATGTTTAGAATTGGGAAATATATAAATAAAATTGAAGTGTCCGTTTTACTTCAGTTGGCTATTATTTGTTCTTCTATTGAAGTAAAAGGTAACGAATGACCTCTGACCTTGGAACATTGTGGTAGTATTGTACATTATGTAAAACAAAAAGTTCATCGATGCAATCACAACAAATTATACAAATAAAAAAAAGCTTTTTCATCTTTTCATTAATTTATTTATGCTGACTTTTCTCATTTTTTATTTATTTCATTATGATGCATTGCGCAGAATATTAAATTGGCAAAAGAATTGTTTATTCATTATGTTTCTTTATTTATTTATTAATTACAGATATAATTAAATAAATGGAAGTGATTGTTGACAGAGTTTTTTTCGATTTTGAATCAGTTCGGTAAATGTCAACTTGCTTCTTTTTCCAGCAAATTCAAAGTATTTCACTGAGCTTTCGACATTTCGTTTTTCTTAAGGAATCCTTTTTCTATCTTTAGAATTAGCATTAATTTTAAATAATTTGAAATATCAAGTCATTTTAGGAAGCCTTTATTGAAATGGCGCATTCCACTAGCCAGAAAGGGACGGGAAATAATAAATGTGAGATATTTGAATATTGGAATAGATTGGAATGAACGCTGAAATCAGTAGAAGAGTTATTACACGATATAATCAATCCTATAACATTCGCATTGTTATATCACTCATTTCTTTCACTTCCAACCCAATAACAGCAAATTTGATGCGATAACCGAAAAATAAATTGATCGGATATTTGCTGCATGGAATAAGTGTAACAGATAGATGGATAATCGACGTAGAGAGATATTACTTTTCAAATTTATTCAAATTGATATGACGAAGATATCGTTAAGACCCTTTTCCATTGGCAAATTTTCCTGAACGCGGAAACTGTAAATACTTTCCGCCTGCGCTCCTGCCATGTGTGCGATTTATGCATCCTATTTTTGCGTGATATTTAGGAAAGATTTCGGTATAGAGATCAATATATTTTGACTCCGGAAGTGTATATCTTCTTTTTCCACATTGACGAAGATTTTTGGGTATCAATGATAATGGTAGTGCTAATGATCATCACTGTCATTATTCGCAGGCAGTATTTACAACAATCAGTCAATCCGGCAAACTAACACTAGCAATAATACTAAACACAGTAGGCCAACTGGCACTCTTCCTCGACTCTCATGTGCACCTGCATCAGGCACATGAACCGATCATCTGGGCGACAAAAGCAAAAAAAGCGACATTTGGCAACAATGTCAAGTTATGATAATTAATTTCTTATAGTTGTATGTTACAGATATGTATATATATACATTTATATTTATATATTTATACGGAGGAAGAAACATCTTACACTTCTCGCCCACTTAATATTACCTCGATATTCATTTATAAAGCTATCACGATAGATGAGAGCAAAATTTTATTAAATTCTAGTAAACCTGTCATCTATTGGAATTATTTGTTACTGATATACTGTTATTGCGAATATTCTTTGCAATCAAAAAAGAATACTGAGGAAATTTTACATATCCATAATAATGCGGTAATTGGAAAAGAAAGTACAATTCATTGAACATTTTCGAAAGGTGGCATTTAAAACGGTATGCGGTAGTAGGACAAGTGAGTGAAATAGTAAAATGAGAGAAGGCTTGCTTGAACATAAATAATTCTTCCAATATTCGATACACCGTTACATATCGGTGATATTAATTAATAATTGCAGTAGGTAATGCATTAAATAAGTATTTGTATTTTTTTCCTCTGTGCTTTTGTTTTTTATCTTCATTTACACATATACTCACACTTTTGTTTTTCCCTTTTGTTTTAATCTTTTTCAAATCTGAAAAAGATAAATGGAAGAGAGTAAGTAAATGTTAGTATATCGAATTACCTTTCTTACTTCCTTCTAATTAAATAATGTCTACCTTAACCGATATCAAATTGATTTGAAACAGAAAATGAAAAATTTATTACAAACTTAAAGATTATACCGCTAGATTTGAAAGGTGGCGCAAGCACACGCACACGCACATGCAAGAAATACGTGAAGGAACAGGAAATGATGAACGCTTTTCAGGAATTTCTCGCGGAGCCACCTCTAACTTTTCTCATTTTCAACTGGTAAAAGAAAATTTTAATAGTGAAAAATAAATTTCAAACACAAATTTATACAGGTGTATTTGTTTACTTCTATATTTATTTGTTTATTTATCGTCAAAAGGTTGTTAGAAAACAAACTGATTCTGCTGTCAAACTAATCCAAAAATTTC